AGGGAAAAGGAAAAAAGAAAAAAAAAAGAGTGTTTCACTCAGACGAGTTTTCAAGTCCACTAGCCATCGATTTTGACGCTCGGTCAGCCAGCGAGGAAATGGCAACAATGGCTGCTGAGGGGCGTTTCGGGTGTGAAGAGAAAGAAACGAAAGAGGAGAGAGTGTGTCGCATGCAGGTCGTAAATTCAAGATTTTCCTACCGCGGCAATACCAGGAATGGGGGCGGTCACCTGGTTTTGGTTGAGGAGAACTTAGCAAGGGAACGTTTCAGACTTCCAGTTCATAATAATTTGAAACGATACTCACGCCTATAGCTTGAAAGTCTTACGATAAACGGTTACTAATCAATTTAAAAGTTTTTCCAGCCGGCTTGCAAGGATGTTCAAACGATTGTAACTTCATAAAATACTCCATCTACTTTTGAAATCGGTTGAAAATTTTAGGGTTGAAAATTTTCTATTAATAATCTGTTGGCAAATATTATATGAGATACTTTTGTTGAGTACAAGTTGTTTTTAAAAAAATCTCTTTCAAATACACATCAAATGTATTATTTTTCTTATAAGCACATCAAGATTATGAAAAACTAGAAAACTATAAATTTAATATTTTATCAAGATAAATACTTGAAAAAAAAAAAACACCCAAAACATATACTACCTTGCGCGTCCAAACATATTCTCAGGCAAATGTCAAGAAGAAATTCCCACAGCATACAGACTGAACGCTAACATGAAGCTCATGACATGCAATTAAATTATTTTAGCATCTTCTACGAAACATAAAACACTAGGCAACCCATAATTCAATATTCAAGTAGCAAATATTATTGTTATCCAGCACAAAATTTGCTAGTCTTTCACGCTGCATGGTAGCAGCTTCAACACACATTTCCTCCGCCCAAGAAAAGAAACTGTTCGCCGGTATTGAAATCCCTAGACAATAATTTATAATTACGTTCCTAATGAAGTACATTTTTATTACAGAAAGCCATTTCAAATCGCTTTCTCGAAGGACATTATTATGATAATCATGTAACTCACGGAGGGAGGCGGTTTTGAGCAATCACCGGAACAACAGAATCATATTTGTGGAAGCAATCCTCTGGCCGACGATTCATTCAGACATTAGAGTGAAAATAAATGCCTGTCCCATTAGAAGGATTTTTCCCTTTTATTTGAACTCTTACTTTCTTCTCGAGTTATACAATCGATGAAGTTATCAGGGGGAGGAAGGCCTTGATCAGTGACGGAGTAATCACTGCTTCATTAAATTCCTAATAGCATATGGAAGAATGCCTCCGTGGTTGAAATATTCCAATTCCACCTGCAATTGCAATTACGGGCATCAGCTAAGAAAAATGAGGAGGGCTTCAACCATGCAAAAGATGTGGCCATGCACTTCCATCTAACTTTTAATGACTATCACAATAATGCACGCCAAAAAAATATATATATACATATATGTGTGTGTGGGCGTGTGTGTGGGCGTGTGTGTATATATATATATATAAAGACAGCAGGATGCTACCCAATACTACTCGAGT